ATTAAAGAACTGAACTTTGTTTCTTGTAGTAGAAAAATATCAATATTGATGCAAAGAATGTTACTGTTAATTACTACAACATATACACATAGGTCGTGTCATTACAAACTTGCCAGTTTCTTTAATTTTTTGAAAGATCTACAATTTATAAACACAATTTAGGTAATATCCTACAGTATTTTTCCATAAATACGGCTCCCATGCATCCATACTGGGACCTTGTGATCAAGTCTTATTGTCACAGCCTTGCTTACTTGTACTTTCATTCCATTTAAAAATTTCATTAGTGCTGTCAGTTGGATTATAAAATTTACAGTTGTAATTTTCAACAGAATTTAAATAGATTTTCCAGAGAGCAGTATTTTTGATGGATTCTTATTAATTTTTATTAATAATGGAAAAAAATAATTCTAATGTTATGATGCTGCAGAAAATAATATAATGGTTAATTATTTTAATCCAAAGCCATATATTGGTAAAACAAATAGTAAATTTTCTGGTTAAAGCATATACCTGCATCATCTCATGCAAAAATGAAGAAGAAATATTTGCTTCATGGCTCTTTCAGCTTCAGAAATTTTGCGTAAATTAAAATTGCAGCTAACTGGGGAATAAGTTTTGGGTAATTGTGAGTTCTAAATTGCTCAGAAGTTTGCTTAGAGGAATGTGATTTTTATTGTTACTTTTAGATACGGTTAAGATCAAAGCTGTTTACACAAGCACAAATTTCTTTTTTTTTCCAGAACAACTTTAGTGGTATTCATTTGCTGGAATTAAACTGCATTTGTTATTCCTGTGATGCAGAGCATAAACTTTTGACCTCTGATGCATGGCCCTTTGGGATTCATGGAACCTGTCATATAAGCTAAGCTCTTCTCTTCAGATGCAATGTTTGTATTGTGTCTCAAGACAGAATGAGACCTAACTCGCAGGAAGACATGATGAGCTGTATAAATGTCACATGCTTTGAGGAAAGTTGAATTAAAATTAAAAGCATTATTTTTGTCCTGGGAAAAGCAGTAATGTCATACAGGTGAAGAAGCAAAAGGGATAACTGAGGGACAGTAGAAGTTTCCTGAGATTGGGTGTACATTCATGGTCATCCATGCTCATGCATGACTAATGTCATCTGAAAAAGTATGGGGTAAATATTTTCTAGCCCATTTTCTCCAAGTGTCTAAAGTTCCTTCTTACTGCAGCTCGTTCATCATTTAGCCCCTGCTCTCTTTCCATGTGCGAAATGTTGCTTCTGTTTCCTTCTAAATCACTGATTCTGCATGCACAGAAAGGTGTCTCATTCCCCTTCTGTTCATTGCCAGCATTAGAGGATCTGGGGCAGACTTGTGTCTTTGCAAGAGCAAGATCATGCCTGTGGTAGTTTATTTTCGTGATAGTATTCCCAACAATTCTATGAAAAGATACAGTAGAGAACTTTGCTGCTGATTCAAACAAATTACCTATTCCTGAGTGTTACTTAGTTGGAGTGTTTATAAGGCATATTAACTTTAACTTCTAGCAAGCCGAGAGGTAGAAGGCACAGGGGATATGAACAGAAAGTGCAGAGTACTTGGATTGCAGACTGGAAAGGAAGTGACTCAGGATGCTTTGAAGAAAGTGAAGTTCTTCAAGATTTAATCTGTGCTAAATGCTCTTTCTCTGTAGCTATTGTTTTCCTTGTATGCTTTCCTAGGAGTATTCCATAGTCCAGAAACATCACAGAGAATGTAAAGTCTCCCACACAAGATGTTCTTGGACTTCAACTAATATTAGTTCTAATAATTCAAATGAATACTTGGAATCTACTTCAAATGCTTTTATTATTTTTTTCCAAACTGCTAGCTTATTTTCCTTCATGGGGAACATCAAGTGAGCCAAGGAAATTGTGAGGTACAGATACATGGCTCTAGTTTTAGATGAGAGTGGAAAACGTGACTGATTCCTGCAGTCAGTCCAAGATTTGGAGGGTTTTTTAAGTCTCACAAACTATACTTTAGATTGCAGAACTAGCCTGGATTTTGCAAATTACTTTTCATCTGCTATGTTAGTTGGCATAAAACTTATGAAGCGAAAGATAAGGTAATAAAAACATGCTAAAGAGACTTTGTCATATCCTAATGCTAAAATTGCTACCTTGCATTTTAACATTCTTTAACCTGGATTTTTCAGTTCTCTATTTACAGAATTAGAGTGCTGGGTTCCTGTATGTCAAGTGAGCATTTAAAGACAGAGAATAACTAGAAAAGATTTTCTGACATGCAGAGGAAAAAACGTAGCCGTTAGACAAGTATAACTAGTTGGCAGAATGCCGTTTCTACTATCCTGCACATTTTTCCCAGTGAGTACTTCAAGTGACATTTTGTCATGGAATTTTTATTAAACTAGTTAGTCTTTAAGTCTTTAAAAATTATTTGTATCTTTTCACTCTAGTAACTCTTATTTTGATTAGTTAAATACCAAATGCTTAGACAACAGGAGTTATGTCTCTGTTTTACCTCATTGAAAATATGCAGTTCTTAAAACACCTGATTAATGGCATAGGCACTCAAATTTCTGTCTTTTTTTATGTCCACAGCAGTCTGTATTTCAGCAAGGTGGAGCAGTTTGATAGATATGTTCCAGCTCAGCCCCTTTGGGATCCTTGCATGAGTCATCTCTGCTTTCCTTAGTCAATCCCTTTCTCCTTGTTCAGAGTAAGTCCAGCATACAAATAAATGAGCTTCTCAGAATATAGCTTTGTACTAACTGTTTTCCCTGAAATGAATAATTAGAAGAAGAGGACATAGTGAGGGTACTCTGCTAGAGACTGCTGTTTACGTCTTTAGGAAGTGGAAAAGTTGGGGTTTATGGCAGCCTCACTAGCTAGAATCACAGGATCACAGAAAACTTGAGGTTAGAAAGGACCTCTAGAGGTCATCTTGTCCAACTCCCTGCCCAAGCAGGGTCACGTAGGACCATAGGCAATCTCTCAGCTTGTCCTCATAGGAGAGATGCTCCAGCCCTCAGATCATCTTTGTGGCCCTCCTCTGGTCTCACTCCAGCAGCTCCATGTCCTTCTTATGTTGGGGACCCCAGAACTGAATACAGTAGTCCAGGTGGGGTCTCATGAGAGCAGAGTAGAGGGGCAGAATCACCTCCCTTGACCTGCTGGCCACACTTCTTTTGAAGCAGCACAGGATATAATTGGCTTTCTTGGCTGCAAGCGCACGTTGCCGGCTCATGTTGAGCTTCTCTTCAACAAAGATCCCCAAGTCCTCCTTCTCAGGGCTGCTCTCAGTCCATTCTCTGCCCAGCCTGTACTTGTGCTTGGGTTTGCCCCAACCCATGTGCAGGACCTTGCCCTTGGCCTTGTTGAACTTCTTTAGGTTCTCACAGTCCCACCTCTTAAGCCTGTCAAGATCCCTCTGGATGGCATCCCTTCCCTCCAGCGTGTCGACCACACCACACAGCTTGGTGTCATCAGCAAACTTGCTGAGGGTGCACTCGATCCCATTGTCCCTGTTGCCAACAATTATGTTAAACAGCACTGGTCCTACTACCGACCCCCAAGGAACTCCACTTGTCACTGGTCTCCACTTGGACATCAAGCCGTTGACCACAACTCTTTGAGTGCAACCATCCAGCCAATTCCTTATCTACTGAGTGGTCCATCCATCAAATCCATGTCTCTCCAATTTGTAGACAAGGATGTCATGCAGAACAGCGTCAAATGCTTTGGACAATTCCAGGTAGATGCTCTTCCCTTATTCACCAATGCTGAAACCCCATCCTAAAAAGCCACCAAATTTTTCAGGCACCATGTAAACAGGTGTTTCTAATTTTTGTCTATCTTAAATTTTCTTGCAAAAATTTATTAAAGAACATTGGAAATTTCTCACAACTCCAGATGTGGACCTCTCATAAAAGCAACTGATCTTTAATTCTCCGTTTTACTTCTCTCAAGACATAATTCTTAACGTATGGCTTCGAAACAGAAGTGAAATACGAATCTCGTTTAATGAAATACTTGAGTACAACAGAGTCAATTAAGAAAGAACTGAGATGAATACCTTAAAAACCTTTAGAACCAAATCTTGTCATGCAAGTAAGCACGTAGCCTAAGCATTTAAATTAGCAACCAAGTCTACATTTTCCTAAATTCCAATAGGTGTCCATCACCTTAATTCAGAATTATCTTTTTTTATGTCAAGATCGACTTTGACCATTATGCAGCATTCTTCATGAGAAATCATCATTTGTGTTAGGAGTCAAAATACTTACAAAAGAGAAACATCTTGACATAAACTATTAGTCTTCATTATCAAATGTCAGTAGTCACATTGCATTACTTTGTTCTTCAACATTTTGGCAAGAAAAGAAAGTGTCACTTAAGAAATACATATATGTTAAGTTGCTATAGATGATGATTTTTTTTCTGTTTTACCTATAGCAACCTGAGCATTTTGTAATGCTTAGCAAATATTTTTGCAAATGCAGCTAAGGATTAATAAACTGACACATGAAACTTGACGTCCATTGGAATTTGATGGATGAGGACTTTCAATCTGAAGTAAAAGAAAATAGAAATAGCAACGAAACAGCTTTTTCTCTGTATGGCGGTAGGGGAGTACATGTAAGGCTTGTGAAATGAAGTCCAATTCCCCATCCAGAAGCACAGCTCAAGTCAAAAAGGATGTGATTCAGCTAGATGAGAAAAACCTGCTCCCCTCTCCCGCTACAAAATGCAGCTGTACTTGTTTCAGCTGTGAAGCCACAGCTGTCCCTGGGGCTGGGAAGTGGGTACCTGAGCTGTATGACTCAAGGTCTCTCAGTTCATTCAGTCCTGTAGAAAGGTGCTTTCCACCCTTCTTGGTCATCTTCTGTATTAACAGGTTTCTTATGTAATAAACTGTTCCCAAGCACTCTGTGAGGTTTTTTTCCCCCTCCTCTTTCTCTATCCTTCAAGTATTCCCAGAGTAGCCACAAATGTTTGGTTTCCTTTCTTTGTTGTTTGGTTCCGGCAGGTGAGAAGCCAGGGACGGAGCAAGACGAAGTCAAGCTGCAGAACGCCAGCAAGCAGATTGTGCAGACTGCTATCCTCCGAGCAGTGCAGCAAGTTTCCCAGGAGAGCCAGCAAAAGGAGAAGCGACCAAACAGCAGTACGAGCCTCCAGCTAGAAAGAGGAAAATTGACCAAGAAACATGAAAAGAAGTAAAGGAGCAGATTGTTTTTTTCAGTCTGCAGTGTTTTCAGCCTTCTCTTTAGTATCAGCTGTATTGCTAGTGCAATGTTAACTGTTGTGAAGCAAACCAAAGTATAACCACACCTAGACATAGGGTAAAGTTGCAATATTCCTCAGCTGAGAAATACTAAGTGCATTAGATGACTAACTCCATATTTATGCAGTGCCTCTTAACAGAAATAATAACCATAGCTATAAAAGTAGTTTCAAGCACAAGCTCTTAAGGTATGGACTTGTTCTCAAAAGCTTGTTGTCAGTGCACTTTTCGTGTAAGTTCTGCGTGCAACATCTATGTCAGTTCAGTTGGATGGGCTCTTCTCTGAGTTACTGGGTTCACTGAAGCTGTCTTCACCGAAGAAATAGTTTACCATTGAGCATAGCAGAATGCTCTCAGGCTGCCTTGAAGCACGAGTTTGTACTTTGCTTTGATTAAACATGAACTGTGTGAAGTGGCAGTATAAAGTGGCTTTGGTAAGTTCCATGAAACAGTTTCTTTTTTCATCTTGGAAAAAATAAAAAAGCAATCCAGTAAGACTGCAGTGACTGTGATCTGTGACTGTCACCATAGACCTGTGATCTATATCTTTTTTAAAAGAAGTTAAAAGAAGTACTGAAGTTTTAGTCTACTTATTTGAAATACTTCTATAGTTCTGCATAAAAATCACTCGTGCCTCAACTGTTCCTTTTCATTTTCTTGATACGGAAAGAAGAGGAACTGATGTGCTGATAAGGAGTTTGCCAGCTTTTCTTTCAGTTTTGCAGGTTTGCTGGGGCTTGATTTACAGAAAGTGAAGACTGGAGTGGCTTTAAAAAACGGTATTTGAATTTATTGGTATCTTGAAGGATGGAAATACACTGTGTCTGAATTCTGTCACGGTAGATACTTCTCACCTGCTGCGTGTAAAGTGACTTTAGATATTTGCAATTGTTACATAGATTCACCTTAAATAGAACTGCTGTAAGCTGGTAATACAAAACTTATCCTTTAACTGCTCTATTTAGCTGAAGAAATCCGTGATGTTTCTGAAAATACATATTGAATAAATGTGTAGCTTTCATTTTTATGCTCCCTTACTGTAATGATGATTGCACTATTACACATCTGAAATGAATAACAGTATATTTCATTCTAAAAATGGCTTGTAGCTCTGCTTTAACTGAATTCTTCTAGTGATACACCTAGAAATATAAAGAAGCATATTCACAGGATCTGCAAAGAAGGAGACAAACTTTCATAATTGCTTTTCTACTCAGTTAGATGATTCTCAAAGAGACTTTTTGGTTTAAGTAATTGGCTATTACTTACTGTGTCATACTGCTTGTGTTAAACAATTTCAGGATTCTCTCTCATGAATCCAGAGGCTTAGTCATGAATAGCCACATACTGTAATATTAAGCTTCTAAAATCTGCTTGGTTCCATTTTTTTTTTTTTAATTTAACAGCACTGACTCATACCAGATAATATTTTAGCTCAATCTTCTTTCACTTGAAAATGCAAAGAAAAATTCAACATGATTAAAGTTGTTCTAAATCCTCTAATAATAAAAACGGAATTGAACTGCAAGTATACAGTTGATTCACTTCTATAGACACTGGGTGAGTTTTCCCAGCCAGCAAACTTTGAAATATGGAAGTAGTTGAGTCTTGAGACACGTGCATGTTTGTTGTAATAGTCACTTTTTTACCGTTAGCTTTTTCATCAATTGACCTTCTGTTGACAAGTAGCTCTATTCTAAGCACTCTTTGTATCTTTGGTTTCTGACAGCCCAAGAAAACTGATCATGAGTAAAGGCTCAATTCTGAGGCTGATGGGCAGGCAAGTTTAGTGGATGAGAGAGAACAAGCCTGTTGGAGAGACTCTGTGATGCAAAATGGTGTTTTCCATAGACTTGCCTACAATGCTGTAGGAAGGATAGCTGTAGGACAGCAAAATCCCAATTTCTTTGATTTTATTCTACTTCTTTTTAATGCTTTTCCCTAGAAATTTGCAAGATGTCTTTTTTTTTTTCATAGTCCTCCTAATTATTTTGACAATCTTAACGTAGTCTGGAAACTTGTTTGCATGTCCAATTTTTTTTTTTCATAGTCCTCCTAATTATTTTGACAATCTTAATATAGTCTGGAAACTTGCTTGCATGTCCAATTTTTTTTTTTTCTTAAATCAACATGTTAGAAAAAAAGGAACTTCAAAAGCCAGTAAATCCAGGCTTTTGCCAGAACCTCCTGTGAGCCTATTCCACTCCTCCTCCCAATATGCTCTTTTGCAATACTCCTTTAATGTGCTTGCCCTTTTAGACATGCTGTTACTCAACCCATCATGCTGATCATTTTCAGTGCTGTCAGAAGCCTAATATCTTGGAGAGATAAAAATAATAGGAAGCCTCACAGAGCCTTGAGGAAGTTTTCTATGGTTTCCTATTGAAGAAAAACTAATACTGCAGCATAAATTGTGTAGTTTTCACTGAAAGCCAAATAACATATTTCCTATTGATAGCATATATCCTTAAATTAAGGCATGTATTTAGTATCTCCTGTTGACAAAGGATGTTCTGCACACCACTTGTATCCAGCGTAAGTAGCTGAGATCTGTACTGCATGTGAGAACTGCACCAAATAAAACTTTACCCTTGGCTTGTTATATGCTTACTAATGCAGGTAATTTTGGTATCTTCACTGACAGATTATATTTTCTGGAGAAAATACAGAAATTATTGCAGATGTGATGCAGGTCTGATTACAAATAAAGAAACTCTTAAAGAAACTCTTAATACTTTACATGTCTCTGATTTCTCTTGTCAAAAGAAGGGAAGCAATTTTCAGATTCACTAAACAGTCTTAGGAGACAAGCAATGTGCTTGTGAGGTTGGTAGTAATAAAAGCATTATTCAGCGCAATAATTCATATCTCAATAGTCCAAGACAAGCAAAATGACATCTATATGTATTTAAACCAAACCTACCACCTTTCAATCAATAGTCCAAGACAAGCAAAATGACATCTAAACCTACCACCTTTCAGCGCTTATGGTAAGTAGAAGAATGCACAAACATGTGAAAGTACATTTATCACAACTCTTTCCGTGAAGAATCAGGTGTCTGTGGCTATCCTGTGCTGTGCTTGCTATGTTTTCGTTCAGGTAGATTATTGCAATTTTGTTACTCTACTTGTGCTATTCTTTGTAATGTAATCAAGCAGCAACACATAAATGGAAATTCATATGGCCACAGCAGGATGTTGTAAGGGATTACTAAATGCAACTGTTCATCAAGTTGTTGGTTCTGTGCAGTGACACTGGAAATCCCTGTTTTAAAATAAAAAAAAATAAGTGACTTGGAAACAGCCATCTTAATTTATTATTTGAGAAAAATTAAAGCATTCTGTGACAATATTATAGTAAAGAGTTGGAAATTCTTGAATATTTAGTCAACATCAAAGCAAATGATACATCTGAAATTATTAATTACAGTCTCTACTCATGTCATGTCTGTTTTTTTCTAATAATGTCTTCGTAGTATCTCAGAAAGTAGTATTTCTACAATGCTAAGTGTATAAAATATCTATGTAGCTATTCTTGGCATGACTACCATGAAACATGCTGCAGTTGCCCTTCACGTGTGTGCTAATGTCAAATACAGAGGCTTTTCTAAGAGTTTAATCTAAATTAGGGGAAAAGATAAGAGGATGTAGAATAAATTCTTGAAAGGATGCGAGATTCACTCTAAGTCTCTTGGTTACCCACTCAGGTCTGAGAAGAAGTTAAATTAAGGAGAATTTGGCATAACCTAACTTCTCTTAACCGGTTCCTGCAACACAAGGATCAATTTGTTAAAAGAGTTTGTGGGAGTGAGGGGGGAAACTGAGCTGTTGATAATGTTATCTGCCTCGCCTGACACTCAGTAAGGAGTGAGCAGCAGTACTGATGAAGCCTAGTTTCTAATTGATGGGTTTTCTCGTGGCTGGCTGACAGAAAATTTTTCCGTATTTTGGGTTTTCCAGATCAAAGGGATTCTCTGAGGCCTGATAGGTTTTCAATTTGCACTGTATCATGCCTTTCGAAGGGAATTAAAGTAAGGTCTCTTTTCTCTACTTCCATAGCTCCCTTCACAGAATCTGGTGGGTGTGTATGGGCTTTTGTTTTAAAGACCACTGTATCCTCATTGGATTTAGCCAACATGATCAACAATTTCTTTAATTCTTAGACTGAATGGATGAACACACATACTAGCTGTGTGCGAGTGCTCTGGGGAACACCAAGAAACAGATACATACTTTACATGCATTTGCTTCTAAGCCGTTCTTGTCTGCCAGGAAAATTTTCTTTGTTTAATTAACATAAGCAGCTTTTCTTTTTTAATAACTTTTCCTCCAGTGGCTTGCTACTTGGATTTTATTATATGAGCTTATTAGTTTTAACATTAAAGCAACAATAGTTCATGTTTAGTTTGAGTTTGATTCATATTCCTGTGGAATTACACGTGTGGCTTTTGTCGTTTCTTACACTAAAGGTAAGGAGCAGTAATAAATAATGACCTGAAGAAAAGGAAATGTGGGGGTTTTTTTTGTTGTTGTGGTGGTTTGTGGTGGTTTTTCCCCTCAGTTGCCAATAGCAGGGGACCGCACTGGTCAGGTCATCATGAATCATTTACATGTGTTGTGACAGTAGCTGGGTGTAGAACTTGTGCAGAAAGAGAGAAAATTAACTCTTATGCAAGCTGGAAACTGAATCCACCTGAGCTGGTTCTAAAACACTGAAGAAAGACACTCCTGGGAGCTTTAAGGAAAATGTTTCATGTGTGCTTTCAGAGTTGAAACCCGTTTAGAAACACCAGCTAGTGAAGGTGGTAATTGCTTGCTTTGTGACATAAGGTAGAAGATGAACCTTACAGTGTTGTTCTGAAGACTTAAATGCTACCTTCTTGTGTCTATGGAAGGCTTTGAATTGCATCCTTTGGCAGAGTAACCCATTTGCTCC